CAGGTAATATACATACCACATGGGATCATCATCAAAACACAATCCCTGCTGGAGGCGTTCACACTACAAATTAGTCTGGCGTAAGTAGTAGTAAGAATGCAGTCCAAAGTCAATTTATACAATCCTGCTGGATGTATTCACATTACACATTAATCCAGTTTAAAGATTAGTATGAACATAGTCCACAGTCAATATATCTTAATAATCCTTGTTGGATGCATCACACTACAATAGTCTAGCTTAATTACATGTAATAGTATGTATGAAGTCCACATTCAAAATACAATCTGAGCTATCTGCATTCACACTATAATTATTATATAGTTATTTTAATGATAATTATACTTATCATATAGTTACTAAAATTTAAATATCAGTATGAACACAACTCTCATTCAAAAGTCTATGAGAATTGATCTATCACTATTCGATCTAGTTTTCATTCCAGAATAAATGTGTAAAACTTCACAATGCAAGCAAGATCCTCCTGTATCATTATCAACCACCTGTACAGCATCAAATTTGTAAAAGAACAACTGAACCCTTATCACAATTTAATTTATATATGTATGAAAGAAAAATAAAACAAACTAAATGGTAAAAATGGCAAGAACATGGTAAAATTGGTGCCTTCCCATAGGAAAGTGAAAAGTATGCCGCAGACCTGCCGCAGACCTGCCGCAGACTTTTAGTCTGCGGCAAAGAGTATGCCGAAGTATGCGGCAGAAAGAAATTTTGCTGCAGACTTGCCGCATACCAGTATGCCACTGGAACAGTCTGCGGCAGATCTGCAGCAGGATGAAATTTTGCTGCAGACTTGCCGCATACTAGTATGCCACAGGAACAGTCTGCGGCAGATCTGCGGCAGGATGAAACTTTGCTCCAGACTTGCCGCATACTAGTATGCCACAGGAACAGTCTGCGGCAGATCTGCGGCAGGATGAAACTTTGCTCCAGACTTGCCGCATACTAGTATGCCACAGGAACAGTCTGCGGCAGATCTGCGGCAGGATGAAATTTTGCTGCAGACTTGCCGCATACTAGTATGCCACAGGAACAGTCTGCGGCAGATCTGCGGCAGGATGAAACTTTGCTCCAGACTTGCCGCATACTAGTATGCCACAGGAACAGTCTGCGGCAGATCTGCGGCAGGGCGAAACTTTGCTCCAGACTTGCCGCATACCAGTACGCCACAGGAACAGTCTGCGGCAGGTCTGCCACAGGAAATCCCATTAAAGTCTAATAGGGCCAATTGAAACCAATCATCTCATGCATATTCATTATTACTTTACACGTGTGACAGAAAAATACATTTATCATGATTTGTTAAGCAAATTAAGACAATGCACATCATTTTTGTGATTTCTATTTTCCTTTTGCCATTATTAACCAATAGATTATTTTGTCTGATCATGTTACAATTACATTCACGTTTAAGCAATAGATATATTGATTACTAACCAAGAAACTATGATTACTAACCAAGAAACAATATACATATTTAGTATATATATGTGTACGAGCCTGTGTCACTTTAAATGTTACTCTTGAATACACTTCAAATGATCAATGTGATGAAGTTAATACAATTGAGAATAGAATAAACCTAATTGGTAATATTGATATATATTGGTATTACCTAATTGGTAATATCGATATTGCCAATATCGATTATGAAGTATCAATCAGTTTATCACTGGTTCTTCTACATGCATACTTTATTGCCACGTACTGGATATGAAAGAGTATGCGGCAGGTCTGCAGCAGGTCTAAATGAGATATGAATATTCATGACGAAGAGTCTGCGGCAGGTCTGCAGCAAGTCTGCCGCAGACCTGCCGCAGACTCTTCATCATACTGAAAGAGTATGCGGCAAGTCTGCAGCAAGTCTGCGGCAGACCTGCCGCAGACTCTTCATCATACTGAAAGAGTATGCGGCAAGTCTGCAGCAGACCTGCCGCAGACTCTTCATCATACTGAAAGAGTATGCGGCAAGTCTGCGGCAGACCTGCCGCAGACTCTTCATCATACTGAAAGAGTATGCGGCAGGTCTGCAGCAAGTCTGCGGCAGACCTGCCGCAGACTCTTCATCATACTGAAAGAGTATGCGGCAAGTCTGCGGCAAGTCTGCGGCAAAACTAATTTGCATGTGAAAAAGATGACTGTCTGCGGCAGGTCTGCTGCAGATCTGCGGCAAGTCTGCCGCAGGAGTATGCGGCAGGCTCATTTCTTTCCTATGGGTTGGTACCTCGATATAATACTGATAACGAATCAAACAGGAAAATGAGGTGTTAATCTGATGATCAATAGCACAACACAAAACCAACTGCCAATGAATAGTTTGTAATAATAAGATAAGACACATCCTTGACCCACTAAATCAACAAAACAGTTGATAAATGACAACTGATAAATGACAACTGATAACAACATACTGAGATTCAGTGTTCTATGAAAACACATTACATGTTTATATACACAGGAAATTTTCAGAGAACATTATAGGTGAATAAAATGTGACTGCACTACTGTAAGTCAAGAAACATCTGCGCACATGAAATGGTTGCAAATGTTGCAAGCCGGATTTCAGACCCTGTTTCATAAAACCTGTTATCAAGAACAAATTACAATAACTATTTATAAGCTACTGAAATCATGCCATTTGATTGGCTGAGAGCAAATTTGCCCTGAACCACTGGGAAAGTTTCTTGCCGTGACGAAATTCTCATTAAAACATTGCAAAAGTTGCATGCCAAGCAAGTTTCTGGTTCCAGTTCTTACTTTGAAAAAAACACTAATGATCTAAAAGTAGGTAATGAAACATATATGCTACATACATTCTACGTGATGTCTCTTTGGCAAAAAAGAAGGGCAGGAAAAGACCTTTATTGTAAATCTTAATTTTCAATGAACTCTATATATCCATTATCCTGTTTTGCTTTTTTCCATGTTTCCTTTCTATCATTTTTAATCCATGCTTGAGCAAGTTTCTTCTTCTTCTAAATCTCCTTCGGTTCTAAAACATCCTCTTCTTGCCTCCTTGATATTTATTTATTATCTTCCAACATACACTGTACATGTACATGGTGCATGGATATTAATAATTCTCTATGAAATTCTGAATCTTGCCTTAAATCTGTCCCACTATACTACAGTGAAACCTGTAGTTAAAGACCACTCAAGGGAGACAACAAAATCAAGTCTTTATGAGCAGGTGGTCTTTATGTGCAGGTTCCTTTACTATATCTTTTGATGGGGAAACACATTCCTCGGGAAACAAAAGTGCAATCTTTACAGAGAGGTGGTCTTTCTATACAGGTGGTCTCTACAAAGCAAGTTTGATTGTACCTCCATCCTCTCTACCTCACCTTGTCCTATTACACCTGTCCTCATCAATTCGAGTTGGCCAAATATAGCCCGCTATTTTGTGATCCGGGAAATTAGCCCTAAGTTACATATCACGTCTTCACCAGCTCGAAACTCTAGCTCGAGAAATAGGCTCGAGAAATTGGCTCGTGAAATTTGCTCAGTGTTCACACAATGTGCGAGTCTTTGGGCTGGTGAAAACAGACCACGAATAGCAGACTATAGCCCAAGATATCTTGGGAAGATTTCCTGAGCAAATAATTCGCTATTTGCTTCTTCACCTGCCAAATAGCCCGCTATTTCGTGATCGGGCTAATTTCCTGAATCAGAAATAGCTGGCTATTTGGCCTACTCGAGTTGATGAAAACAGGCCTAATGAAATAGTTTTGAAGTGTGTCAACAAACTCTAACCCTGATAAGCCTCAGACTAGACAAACGTAACTTGTTTGTGATGAACACATTAAACCAACCATAAAGCATTGTTATGCATGATAACATTACCTATGTTCACACTCCACTGTGTTAGTCATAAACTTTAAAGATGCATAGTGGTGGGTTTTCATGGGGAATTTGACACCATTCTTGTGGGTTTACCCAATAACAGGCATTGCCAGTCACCAAGAGTGGACTACACTCTTATGACAGACAGGTATTTTGTAGTTCACAATGCCCTAGCCTACCACTGTATAAAAATTGCATCATATAGTATATGTATCAAATTTCCCTCATCCTCAAGATATAAATGTAGGGCAAGTTGGAGTATTTTCTGGTAGGACCACAGCTTCGCTGCTCAGAGACCTCTGCACACATAGACACATTAATATGTACTTCAACCAAATCTGGTGTCAGCGAATTATGATGTAATACACATGGACACTGACTACTACAGTGTATGTGGCTTTAAGTTTGCGAATACACAAAAATCCACTAAACACAGGGGAGGGTTCACACAGGACTGAAACAATGAGTATATTCAACATATAATTACAAGCTTGGGGAAAGCATTCATTTAAATGACAAGCTGGCGTAACCTCATAGCTACAAAACATCAAATTAGGACTCCCAGCTGCTCGTAGTTATGCTTCACAGATCATTACCAAGGGCTTAACTTCAAGTTAATGGACTTTCGTGTGAACCTTACTATCACTAACTTGGCTGCCTTATGGTAAGGTGTATATCTGAAGATGCATCCTGTATCCATGATATGAGTGTGCTGTAAATGATATTATACCATTTCATTTGAAAAACAGGATATACCGGGTAGTGACGGCAGGGAGGTAAGAGAGAGAGAGAGAGAGAGAGAGCGCGCAAGAGAAACAGACAGAGAGAGACAGAGAGAGAGAACAAAAGAGAGAGACAGGGAGAGACAGAGGGAGAGAGAGAGCGAGAGCGAGAGCGAGAGAAAAAGAGAGAGCGAGAGAAAAAGAAAGAGACAGAGAGTGAGACAGAGACAGGGAGAGCTCTAGAGAGAGAAACAGAGAGGAGAGAGAGGAGAGAGAGGAGGGTGAGAGGGCTTGGGGAGGCAAGCAGGGGGGGGGGGGATGATGGTGCGTGAATAGACATAGACAGATCTACATGTATCTCATACACAAAAAGGAAAGTGAAGTGTTAAAATGTCAAGAACTGGTACTTACTCGTTTACAATGTGAACATCTTGGCCTGCGTGGCTCAGTGTTGCCTGCTATAACATGATAGAAATAACAGAATAAAGTCAACTTTTTATCTTAGAGCTTAAATATTCCTATGTTATCCAAATATACAACAGTGCATATGTTTATTTCATCTCCGGGTATGAAATTACAAGTACAAGAAGCACTGCTTTAGAATTATAATCCCTATATAGCTATACACTAATTCATACATGTATATGTCCAACTCTTACTCTTGTCCAATTATACAGCTTTCTGGTAAAAAAATATAATGAGAATGAATTTGAGGTAGTATGATACTTGTTTCCTCCTCTATCAAAATCAATTTCTTTAGTATTTTCCCTGGGTCCTTCTACAAGGGAATTAAAAGCTGAAAACTGTCTTGTTTATATATGTTAAACATATTGTATTCATCATATGTTATAATATATCTACATCATGCTATCTACATGTATATTTGCTATGATATCTATGTATATCATTTTATGTTTGTAAAGATGTTTGGAAATTTGAGCAAAGCAAATTTCCTTTGGACAATAAAATACAATTGAATTCAAGGAAACTGCATGAAATTAAAATTGTAAAATGAAAACCGCCCTCTTTTGTTTGAGATACTACAGCTTTTTTAGAGACTTGCTATATTAGTAATGTTACATTTTGTTCATAAGGAGGTCAAAAAGAGTATTCTCTCTCTTCTCTTTTATCTCTTTCCCCCCTTCCTTCTCACTCAAATTTGTTTCCCTTCATACCTGGAGATAAAAAAAACATTTAGACTGTCTACCAAATCATATTTTTTCAGTGAAGCTGTCTTGATCAAACCTTGTTGGTTTTTCTAACAGATGTGCCCAACTTCGTCCTATCAAAATGTATACATATATTTTGGTTGTCATTTGAAATGTATTAATCAATATGGAAATGCATATCTTTTATTCAATGAACTGTACAATTTTGCGTTTAAACAAAGTGGAATTTAATTTAATAAAGCAAATTGAAGTGAAGATTTTCTTATTCTATAACTTAATGATTGTACTCTTCCCAATATACTCTATAAAAAATCTGTAAGCGATGTAGGAGCAGAGAGAGAATGATGTCATAATTTGTTTTATTGTTTTGTTGTATTCTCACCTTTGTCCAATATCACTCCAATGCTGTCAGCTGACACTGGCTTCCTGTAATTTGGAAATATAATGAAAGAAAGAGTAGTTTATCAATTATGTTCCTGCAACATAATAATAATAATTTTTATTTTCTTTAATTTCATTCTCATATAAAAAGCACATAAATATTCATAAACATAATTTCAATGCAAATACACCTTCACAAATAAAAATTACATTGAAATGTTGAATAACCTGCAAATTATATTTGAAAATGAAAAGAAAGAATTATAATAAAGCCTGAGAGGCCTCCCTCAGAGAGAAATATAAATAGTTTGCAGAAATATTTACGGTTTTACTTTAAACATATAACAAACACAACAGAAACAAGTATAGTATTATATATAAAGATAACATTTTAGATTACCCTTAAGTTTGCTTTGGTTTTTGACAAATACAAGTCAAACCAACATAAAATCACATCCAAACTGATTAGCAAGATTATCTGGTACCCGATTTATAAGATCTTTAGCTTGAGAAATGATTACACCCGTCCACCCATCCCCTCTCCAACAATCCATCAATCGATCAAATCAATCAAACAAGGCAACTTAAATTGAATAAGTGAGGCAACTTAAACTGGTGTATCATGTGCGTATAGTCCTTATAAGGACTGGGGTATTTTTTCTTGGAGAGATGTGTTTAATAGTTCTGACAAGAACTTGTAGATCTTTGAAGGAGATGGTCTCGACGTTTAGGACAGTGTGCTCTGTCCGTCGTCAGGACTACACACATGGTGTACCCGTTTAAGTTTTCATCACTCATCTACCTCACCATGGAAACCTTTAAAGAAAAAGACAATATAAATTGAATTCACTTACTTCTTAGCATGTTGTCTTTTAGTTCTGTAAATTAGTTCTTCTTCGAAACTGGATGTCTCATATGTCAGTTCAAACCTCTTCAATTCAAGGTCCTTCTGTAAAATAGAAAGCTAAACGGAAAAAGATAAAGAGAAAATCTTATTTTATTTTAATAACAATTGCCTTGAAGACTGGTATTGATCAACCATTACTTTGAAAGGTTGAGAGACATGATCTCTAGGAAAGTTGATTTGAACAAAGGGGGGGGGGGGGTGATTCAATCTCTACTAGATATCTTTACACAGACTCACCATTAGCTCAAACTCAGGTACTGATATCACTAACTCATTCTCAGCCGACTCAATCTCTGACTTTAATACAAAGCTCTCTAAGTCTATAAACCTGTTTATCTCTTCCAACCTTGAACTTCAAAAGCTCAAACTCAAACTATCTCATTATTAGCCGACTCAATCTCAATCTCTTTCGTTTGTGTTTTCCAACCTTGAACTCCTTAAGCTCAAACACATCTCTAGCTAGCTCTATCTCATTCTGAGCCTGACTCAATCTCTACTAGATCTCAAACTCAGACTCAACAATAACTCAAACTCAGCTGACTCAATTTCTGACTTACAATTCTCTCTAGGTCTATAATCCTGTTTGTATTTTCCAACCTTGAACTCCATAAGCTCGACCCCTGCTCTAGCAACCTCTATCTCATTCTGAGCCTGACTATCTATCTCTAAACAAACTCAACATTAACTCAAACTCAGCCACTGACATCACTGACTCATTCTCAGACTTACCAAGCTCTCTAAGTCTATAATCCTCTGTTTGTCTCTCCCAGATGTGAACTCCATTAGCTCGACCTCTGCTCTTGCCAGCACCAGCTCATTCTCTGCTTGACTCAGCCTATGATCTGTATCATCACCAGGGGTATTGAAAGTGGTGGCATCTGTATGTTCAGTAACGTCCTCTTTCAGGCCCTGTAACTGGGCTTTCATTCCAGCGTTCTCTTCTCGTAAAGCCTTTAACTTGTCTCCCATGCTCACTGCTCTGTTAACCCATACACACACAAATCAAAATGTGAAATGTTAAACAGCATTGCATTTTTAAAAGTATATGATCATTTACATAAATATGCAAGATGAATTATCAAAAATAAGTTGGTTAACATAATGTACACTGCTGCTCATAATATTGGAATGAATTTAACCTCTTTTCATGAAATGATCATGGAAATATGGTTTATTCTTGGTAGATGTAGTTTAAATATCTTCTCAGAACTTTATTAATCAATCTCTATGACACTTTAATTAATCTGATGCTGATTGGATATGTGACACTTGTTTAGTTTTTTTTTTTTCCAATTCCTTTTTTTCTTTCAGATGATTCTGCAGATACTCTTTATTCTGTACGATTGTGATAACTTGTATGATCTAAATGAAAATGTTTTTCCAAGAAAATTGATTAGATAGAAAAGGTTTTACAATAGTTTTACAATATTAATTGAATATATTGTACGACCTATACATTAAGTTTCTGTTTGTACAATTTATTGTAGCACCTTGAGTGACTTATTTAGTCAGAAAGTGCTCTATACAAATCTATATTATCATGACTAATATTACCTTTGATCTGAATGTTTCTTGGCTTCCATGATCCATTTCATTTTACACAGAAGACTGTCATGTTGAGCTCTCAGCTCATTCAGATTCTGAAACGAAATATGAAGAGGATAGATTAAGTAAAATGAAGAGGATAGATTAAGTGGAATGAAGAGGATAGATTCAAATGGAATTAAAGGTTTATAGTAGTGGGTCCACATGGGGAATTTGAACAATTCAGTTATTATTAAACCTAATACCAGGTGTTGTCAGTCACCAACAGCAGACTTTCCTTAATACCATGAACAGGCCTGACATGTACTGTCAATCCTAAATATGAAGGGCACTTAAAGGTACTATGTCCCTTTTGCAGCCAACCTCAAATTCTGTAGAACTTTGCAGGAATTATGAATATGTCATGTATGTCCTATTTGTGAAATTTAAACGTTAGCAGTGTCATCATATTCAAATTATGCAAGGAAACCCGTTTACTTGCTAGACTTCACTGTCAGACACTATTGAGTGACTGACTGGCCTTTTTCCTTCTTTGGTAATAACATACATGAAAAGAGTTGTAAAGGATACATGAGCATTTGTCTACATCAATAACCCACTTCTTGTGATGGCCAAGATTAAACTGATTGAATCTTTGCGCAGCATAAAACGTATGACCATTCGGTACAATTGTCTGAAAATCAAGACTATAATTTTGGGCTCTATAGCCCTAAAGTCGATATGACAACTAATAGTCGTTATTTTCCCACTTGAAGACATTTTCAAGCCCCACCTTTTTTAGGGAAGTTCTAAATTAGTATTATCTTTCAAATGCAGTTGGAATTTAACTTTTTCATTTTTTGGGCCTGCAAATGGGACATAGTACCTTTAAGGGAAACAAAAACAAGTGGCCACTGTAGACAGGTGGCCATTTAGACAGGTTTGACTGTATTTTAAAAACTCTTAACATGGAAGAATTCAGAACAAGCTTAAATCAGGTAACAACATCCAGGTTTCGATATCAGAAATGTACATTATTAGACTCACGGTGATTGCCTAGTTGACATTCGTTATCATCCTACTATATCTTGTGTAATTCCGTCCAAGTTCATTGTTTTCCTTCTTTCCTGTATTGGTTATTATTCGTGTATCACATTAACTCAAATGAGGGTGCATTGTTAATTAAGTTTAGTTTCTCTTCAGGTGCAAGCTCTGTATTTGACACAAAAACTTCAAACCCCAAAATATATACATTACAAATACGTAACATGTATCTCAACTCATAGCCTGCCATAAGGCTGCATGCACGCTATTGCTATAGTGCTTTTTACACGCGAACAAGCTACTGCTTCTCTGCATGCTTCTTGCATGTTTGCATGCATTCGTAATAGCATTTATTGTTTATGCCCATTGGACTCACTATGAAAATGAAGGACAAAGAAAGAGGACAAAATATACAGTTCCTCAGGTAAACAAAGGAACATCTCTTCACTGCTATTATTTAAAAACGTGTAGAACAGGTGTCACATGCATTTTCACCTTTTCTACACATTTTTAAATGATAGCAGTGAAGGGATGTTCCTTTGTCTACCTGAGGAACTGTACATTTTGTCCTCTTTCTTTGTTTGTCATATTCATAGTGACTGTGCCTAGTGTTTTGCATGCGCTATTGATAGTACATGTACCATCGCGTTAATCTGATTATCTCATTATAAACTTGGCACTGGGGGGATTTGTGGCTTGGCACAATGGGGATTAGCCCTGTGGCAGGATAAGTGTTAAAATGTGTTTCTTAACCCATAGCAGTTTAATTTCACCTTCCAGTGATATTTTATTTGCCATGTTTTGATCCGGAATGCTCTAAAGTACAAATTGTACCGGAGCAGAAAAAAGAATGTAGTAAAAAAAGTTTGTCCCATATGGTTAAACAAAATAACAGATTAAAAGCCAGACAGACCACAAATTAATTAATTCTGAGTGTACCAGTGGAAGAAAAAGTGCAATGTAGTGCTTGTGAAAATAAATAAATATGTAGTTAACAACTACAGGGAAATAATTCATACCCTTACCAAGTTTTGTAATTTTTTTTGTATGTGAACAATTTATTTGTCACAATTTATCTTTCATGAGAATGTGACAATATCAAAGCTTACATCTAGAAGTATTCAAGAAAGACAACACAAATATCGAATTCACAAAGGGTATGAATGATTTAGCTGTTAACTGCATGTAAGTTAGATCTGATCCATGTAAATTAGAATATTGAAAAAAAGTTTCCATCAAAAAATGTCCTTGATTCAGAATCAAGTAATTATGAGGGCTGTTGTTAACATTAATTAGGACACAGATTAAACTCATGCCATCCCCTCAAATGAATGATTACATGTACCTCTGACTGTGCATTATTAATAAAACCACACAGGAAAAAGAAACAAAAATAAAGAGAATCATTTTCCATACATATCTATCTAAACCACTAGTGTGTCTACATCTAAAGAAGATTACATCCAAAGAATAGTATACAAATAATGAATGGTTATGAGTTTAATAGTGTGAATATTTTCATGAGTTGAAAGATTAACATTCTAGAATTAACGTTAATCTTTCAACGAATGAAAATATTCACACTATTAAACGAATGAAAAACATTCATTATTTGTTTTATACAACATCGAAGAAGATCTAATAGACTGTAATCAACAAATTATGCTTTACTCTTTATATCAAAGATAATTAAAGTTGGAGTCAAGCCTTCTCGATTACATTCAGATTGCCTTCGCGTCAGATACACGCAGGGATACGCGCACGGCAGAGAGGTACGCAGTCTGCATATAACCAAAAATGCACGGCGCATATAACCAAAAATGCAGGCCCGTGCAATATAACATCTATTGAATATCATGTCACCAACAATCCTCCAATCAAATGACAAGGATCCAAGTAGGTGTTGTATAAAACTGTATATTGAAGGCCATGATGGTATATATTCAACCTTTCCCTTAATAGACCGGTTTGCTGATATATACAAATGTTATTCATACTGTTTAATTAAAGACTTTTCTTGACAAACCAAAACCTTGCCAGAGGCTTGCCGGGCATAGCAACAAGTAATGAATGCAGACAGGATTCCAACTATACTAGTTCTTTCAATGATAACACGTTAATAAAATATCTATTGGGGGTTGGGTTTGATTTTATCCTTATTAATCAGAGCCTATCTTTAGTAAAAGAAAGAGAAAAAGATAATGAAATGCTTTATTTTGTTACTCTTTTGAATTTTTCCCTAAACTGTTTAATACCTTTAAATGTGAATTAAACATTTAATCCCTAATTTTCCTCTTCAATGCTGAAGATGACTACTTCACATACTATATTAAAGCATACAGTCCAGAACAAATAGTACCGACTACTACAATTCGCTTGGGAGCCTTTTTAGACTATGAATGATGATGATTGGGTTGTGGTGAGAGCTAATATTTCATGGATAATTAACTTAATTATGCTTGGAAGCATTTCATTCCATCTCGTTTGGCACCCCATCGTTAATGAAATTGTTGCATGCAGACATTTTCATGGATTAGGTTGAATGAATTCAGGGTGAGGGGAGGGATTGTATCCCTGTAAAGAAAGGATGAAATGAGAACACACTATACGTAATAAATATTTTGAGTACCGGTGGTGATATTACTATCAATATTTTAGGTGGATTCTATTTGTTGCAATGATCGTTTTTTCTTTTTTAATTCTGCAATGAATTTGAGGGAGTGTATTTGAAGGATGGAAATGAGAACCCGATATCTAATTGATTGTTTAACTGGACTATTTTCCCTTTTAATCTTGAAGGTACAATTTGATGGCAATAGAAGCTTGTGTAAAAAAAAAACACATATATTGTGTGAACTGGTATGGCAAAAACCAACACATGGATTTCAATAGGATTAAACTGGTTCTTACCTGTTCTATCAAGATAGATTCATACAGGATTAAATTGGTTCTTACCTGTTCTATCACAATGGATTTATACAGGATTAAACTGGTTCTTACCTGTTCTATCACAATGGATTTATACAGGATTAAACTGGTTCTTACCCGTTCTATTAAGATGGATTTATAAAGGAACTAACTAATTCTAACCTGTTCAAGTACATGTAGTTCCCGATCTGCCCAATTGACAAAAAAATCACTCCTCAATCTCATCATTCAGAGTCTCTACCACAGTTTGTAGACTGGTTAAACTGGGTAAAAACTGGTGTAAACTGGTTCCTACAATGTACCTGTTCCAGTAGTTCTTGATCAGCCTGATTGACCTCATTATACATTACTCTCTCCCTCTCATCACTCATAATCTTTACCATGGTTTGGAAACTAGCTAAACTGGTTTACCGGTAAACCGATTTAAACTGGTTCTAACCTGTTCCACTAGTTTCTGATCTGCCTGATGAGTCAACTAAACATCATTCTCTCCATATCAGCAGCCATGCTCTCTACCATGTATGGTTTGTAAACTGGTTAAAAACTTTTTAAAACTGGTTGAAACTGATTTAAACTGGTTCTAACCTGTTCCACTGGTTCCTGATCTGCCAGAGGGATTTCACTAATCAATCTCTTTATCTCAGCACTCACACTCTCTACCATATTGTTTCTATACTTGTTTTACAAAACTGGTTAAAAATAATTCATGCTTTTTCTAACCTGTTCTACTGGTTCCTGGTTTGTCTGAGTGAATTCACTTGACAGTCTCTCCATTTCAGCACTCACACTCGGTACCATATTGTTTGTATACTGGTTTTACAAAACTGGTTTAAACTAATTTATGCTGGTTCTAACCTGTTCCACTGGTTCCTGGTCTGCCTGAGTGATATCCAGTCTCTCCATCTCAGCACTCACACTCTCTACCATGGTTCGTAACCCTTCCATGATCTCTCCTGATGTTTTCTCATAACTTACTAGACCACAGATAGGCGATGGACCCGGGCTTTCATTCACCTAGGCAAAATAAAAGGAAGTATTTATAAGCAAACATTTCCATTGTCATAATCAAGGTCCTCAAGGTCCTCAAGGCCTAAATCATTGACCAAATAATAGGAATGACTGAATATTTGCTCATTGTTTTTTAAACATGAAGGTGAACAAAAAGATTAATTTGTTCTTTATTTTTGCCCTACTCACTTTTTTTATAGTCTGATGTTATTACATTGTGACACATTTCAAATAAACATAAACAATGATAGGCAAGTCATAGCCATTCCAGAGGAAATAAAATGTTAAAAGTTATTTAGCTTTTCTTTCGTAGATCGGGATAAAAATTCAAGAAGAAATGAATATAATACTCACTACTATTCTGAGTTCACTGAGTAGGTTTTCATTCTTATCGATCAGCTCTTCACCAACACTAGATCTCATTGGTCGAATCTCAGACTTCTCTAAATCTCTTTTCTCTATTTTCATTGCCTACAAGAAAAAGATAAAAAACCCATTACAATTATACAGAAAATGATCACTCTCTAAAAAGAGAGACAATATAACGGTTTACTAACATATTCAAATGTTATGCTTACTTTTGAAACAAAGGTTGTACTTGACAACCTGAAGCTTGTAAAAGGCTTTATTACGTGAAATAGCAACAAGTAATATGCAGACTGGATTCAAAGTATTTAAGTTCATTCATTAATAACAAATTAATGGTATACCTCGTCACTACGTCCCCAGGAAAGAAAAATTGTTAATTAAAATACCGGTATGTGAGTAAATCAGTATATTCAGTACATGTACATGTAGCTGTGGGTGGCAAAGACCCCAATACATTCTTAATTTTATAAGAATCATTTATACATTGTATGAACCGGCCAGTTTCTCGCGGCTGTTTACCCATGTAATAAGGAAACGGGGCCGAGGTTGATTTGTACATGTAGCTCTAAATATAGAGAGCGATGTTACAATAATATTGTTAATCTGCTACCTCACATCTACAACTCTGCATGCCTATATGTACAACCTTGACACACTTGGACTAAATCAATTCATTACCCGGTGATATTTTAATTATAAGGGTCAAAAGATTCAATTAGAAATGATCTTTTAATCTGGAGCAGGATATGAACCTACCTATTCCAATATAGCAGACAAAACGTGTACAAGTATCTTTTGGCCTACAGCAACATTTTAGATATTTGGGGGTTAACGTTTATCAATTTTAAAGGTACCGGTAATACAAAGTTTTGGTATGGGGTCATGAATTTGGTTCAAATGAACATATTGGAAGCATATGCAATTTTACAATATTCAATGATCCTTGTTGCGGTTGAAATGAGTCTAAATTAAGTGATGAAATTGTAATATTAAACTCTTTATGTTGTATAGCGCCCTCTCAAGACTGATATTACTTTAGCTTTAAAAGAATGTTTCTTAACTACAATCAAGCAATTTGCTATTCCCGTTTGGAAATAATATATCAGAACAGCATATTCTGAGATTTCCATTGTCGCAGCAAACACAGAATGGCATGGGCGCTATTTGAAATACACCAGTAAATTTGTAATTATTCAATTTCTCGAAAGCAGAAGTATTTTAGGAGCTAAATTTTGTAGTGCTTATAATAAATCCACAGGGGCATCTAAATATGTATATCAACATTTTAGATAATTACTAACCATCCAATTTTCAAAATTTCCCAAAACTTTGCATTACCTTTAACAGTACCACTTTTTTTCCTCTGTTTTATTTAAAGGTTATGAGCATATAAAAGATAAAAAGCATGTTTAAAAAAACACTGAATAATGTTTGATCAGTGTACACAGTCAAGAGGTGATGCTCCCTTAGGTAAACAATGACATTTGGTCTTGAAATAAAATTGAGCTAATCTTAGCACAGTTTGCATAGCAATACCCTTCAAATAGTTCCATTGTTTGCACATACTTAACAGACGAACAGCTGGTAGTATCTCATAATTGGTAGCTACTTCAACCAATGTGTCAAATATGGGATCTATACCTTCACCAAGTTTGTGCATACATATGTATGTTGGGTAAAGGTAATATCAATATCAAAATAATAATAATGAATACAAAACAATAATGATTTACCGGTACCCTGCATTACATTTATAGGATGTGTTCATAGTATTCTGTACAAATGTACTATTTTTAGCCTTGTACATGTACATGCTGTATTTGGTAGCCTGCGTTTGTTTGTTTGTATGAGTTTCTTTATATTGTTATATATTCAAGAGATACAAAATGTGACAAGAGAAATGGCTGTGTTGTTGTATCACACAGATGGATCATTACAAGCAATTTGACAAGGACCGTATGAGAGGGTTGCCCACAGATGCAGATGCAAAAAAATAGAGCTGTAGTTCACCCTCACATTTCAATGACTGAAAACCCTGAAAGATTTTGTACACAAAATTCTGGGTCGATAAACAATGATCGTCTGAGAAGGATACTAACATCCCAGAGACGGGATAACTTCATATTGGTGTACCTGTAAGTTGAACCCACTAGGTTGCAGTATAGATTTTTGGCGTGCGCAATTTTTAACGCACACATAACTGTATGACGTTATTTCAAGTCAGAATGGGCTGAATTGGGGGTTACTGGTAGTGCAATCACTAATTTGGCTTATATAAACAGGTGTATGTAATAGCTTCTTTCTATGAAAATTATGGCTTATTAGGTAGATAGACACAATGTAATACAAGACACAGTGTATTACATGAAGTACGCTAACATTTTGTTCATGTTTTTATGCAGAGCCCTGTTGAAAACCAGCATTGTTTTTATGATCTTTTATCTGTATTTTCTACACATCAATTGCTTTTTACTGTACATAAATTGTATCATTTTATATTTTTTGTAACTGAACAGGCTACTCTGTTCAAAGATGTAAAATAAATAAATTGACAAGGAACTTACCTGAAAGGCTGTTTGAAGGTCTTTATGACTCTTATACAGCTCAATGTAATTCTTGTTCTCCTGAAAGAAATACAGAAAATTAAAATAATACAACAAAATGACAACTATTACAGCCCAAGACACAGAACATGATTAGATAAATCACTTGTAAATTGCTAATAAAGCCAGGCATATGCATATAAAATTTGGTGACATTACAAAAAAAGTCTTATTGCCCATGTTTGTACAGTCGTGCATTACCAGCTCATTTTACATGTACAGCTATATAATTTATAAAATTCCCTTAACAACAGGTTGTAGTGCATGAATATGTTGTGAACAGAAGATCCAGCATTGTCTGAAATAATAACTGATGGTAGTAGAGATAGATACAGCCTGCAAATTATCAAAACACCAAATATTATGAATAACATGTCTGATATGCTGGAATAGGCCATGATGCACAAATCTTTGTTAAGCACCTCATCACAAATTATGTCTTCCACCTGTTTCGAATAGATGTATCTCAATAGTCAGAATTCAATGTGCATATACACTGTACATGTACACTGAATATTAGTTGTCGCTAGGTAGGAAAAACATGGCAGCTTTAGCTACTAGCATGTAACACGTAATATAATTATGCAATTTGTATTCCAACTGTTGAAATACGATTATTCATAACAGATTAATGAAATAATTTTCCTCTTACTCTCTCTCTCTCTCTCTTTCTTTCTTTTCTCTCTCTCTTCCTTCTCTCTCTCTCTCTCTCTACCCCTCTTTCTCTCTCTCTCTCTCTCTTTCCTTCTGTCTCTCTTCCCTCTCTCTCTCTCTCTCTCTCTCTCTCTCTTTCTCTTAATCTCTCCCCCCCCCTACATGTATGTATCTCTACTACTATCATACCTCCATTCTGAAAAGGAGTAACTTCTTGTTCTACGTACATATCTTTCACATAATGAGTTCACATCTACAGAAGATGTCTCTTATCTCACCCTACATCTTACTTTATCCTCAGTCTTATTTTTTACGCCATTATCACTTTCGCTTAAAGCTAATCTTGAGCTCTGGAATGGGAATCGTATGTCGAGAGAACATGGCTATAATTCATTCTGGATTATTTATCCTGCAGTAGATTGATCGTTTGAACAAGTAAAATAAATACAACCTCAACAAAATTGCTGGAAATCATCTTCAATAAAAACCACAACTCTCATTTGTACATAGTGACTTACGTTAAGCACATGGTGTTGGGCCTACTTACCTCGATTTTCTTTAATATCTTTCTAGTACTATGATCATTACTCAGCCTCTATGCATTTTCTACCAATATTGTATAGCATATTTATTTGTAATCTTGAACATTCAGTGTAAGTTTTGTTCGATTCTTTGAGAATCAAGTTTCCATCATTACCAGAACTCTAGCTTATCTTTAAATCCTGCTGCACACACACACACACACACACACAAAGCAAAGAAATGAAAAAGAGAGATTTTAACCCATTTTCTACATGAGCTTGACTGTCCCTGTATGAGCCCTATGTGAATTTTAATGAATCCATGTCATGAAGTCAAACAAGACTGAAATAGGTAAGTTCGCAAAGCTATTGTTTTTTGAACAGTTATCCTTCTGTCAACTGGATCCTAGCGCAGCAAACAGCTACCATGCAAAAAGGCCCGATTTCCCTAGAAGGTTTAAATGTAACCCACCGTAGGTTATTTTACCTAGGGTTAAAGATAACCCACTGTTTAAACCACCCCTCCTATGTGAATTGCAAAAAAGATAACCCATGGGTTAAGCGGTGGTCTAAACCAGGTTTAACCATGGGTTAGATTTAAACCTCCTTTGTGAACTCAGGCCGGGGAGTTAATTTCTTACCTCTAGTAGTTCATCTATCAGCTCGTCTCTGTGCTTTACAACTTCTTTGAGCTGTGGGTTCAAAAAGAGACATTTCAATATCACATAACATGTACCTGCAGATCAATAAAAATCGCTGCTCAGGTAGGATTGGTAAAACGTATCGGCACGAAAAAAAGCGTCAGGAACGCAAAACGCATAATTGTTGAAAATTATTATAATATTACACAGATGTAGACCCACATTGTTAAGATATGGAGCTGGATGCAACGTCCCCTTGAGCCTATTAAAAACAGCCAGACCTCTCATAGCAGTCAATATATCTATAATAATACCTGCGCAATTCAATCAACATCCATTGTTACCCTTCACAATGACATACTCAGCCTTGCATCAATTACAATCAATCACCTTGCATGGTAATTATCTTATTAAAGCAGCTAATTTCATCTTGATAGATTATCACTTATTGCATTCATGATCATGAGTAGGTATTCATTAATTTTTATGTGATGCACTTACTTTGATATCCTTGGAGTCTATTTCTATCCTTGCATTTTCCAACTGTATTGTAAATAAAAGAGCAGGCAATAGATAAAGAGGAGGATAGAATCTGATATACATGCAATATTTGTTAAAGATAAGCTTGAGTTCTGGTAATGATAGCAAATAAATTCTCACATAATCGAACAAAACTTACACTGAATGTTCAGAATTACAAATAATTGTCATGTGCGAAACTCTTGTAGTAAAAAATTGTCTAGAAAGATAAGGAAATCAAGGTATAAGTAGGCCCGACACTATGTGCTAAACACAGGTCACTATGTACAAATGAGAGTTGTGGTTTTATTGAAGATGATTTCCAGCAAGCTATTGTGGGGTTCTTTTTATTTTACTGGTTCAAACAATCAATTGAATGCAGGATAAACAATCCAGAATGAATTATAGCCATGTTCTCTCGACATACGATGCCCATATCAGAACATAAGATTAGCTTTAAGGAATATTGAGGGTATTATTTGCAATCTCATGCCTTGATTCTTTCCTGGTCATCCCTCTCAATTCCATTAAGATTGGCCTTGCATCAAAATGTGTGCACTAAAACAACGCAAACAAGAAGTACACATAGGAATGCATAGTTGCGCAACACCCTAATCTTTTGTAAATGATGAACCGTGCTATTAAAAACGGTTAGCCGTATTGCATGCTCATACACGTATAAGAAACCACTAAGTACCCCACATGATAGCTTTTCAGCCAATAGGACTCTGTATTATACCGGTATGCTTTTCCATATTATGTCACAATGCACTTTGGACGATTGTTATGCTGATTTCAGCTCTAGTTTTCATCAATTGCATAGAGAGAAGGATGTAATCCTATAAGGTTTACATTTATTATACTAGGGTCAACTGTAAAACATTTACCTCAATTAAGGCATTATACTTCCAACCATCATTATGCATAAATTGCAATAAAACATAACATGGTCCTGTATCATCAATGTTATTATTCATAAAAAGTTACAATTATTGATAAAAACTACTGAAATTCTTTCATCTCATAGGCTTTAACAAAATTTGAATGACATTGATGCAGTTTTTACAAGTACCGGTAATTAGTTAGTACAACTTCAAGAATGACGTCAAATTGTATATGTTAATGAACACTACATTTAAACAAAACTTGATGTGAAAAGCATATCCTACCTCATCTTCAAGTGAAGCCACTGCTCTTCTCAACGAGAGTTTCTCTGTATCCTACAAATAAAGACAAAAGTTAATAAAATTATCAACTTTATTTCTTTATAACAACAATACACGGCAACGGTGAGCGATTTACATGTAGCTCTGGAAGCTCCAATATAGTTCTGATTAATAAACTGAAAAAGAACTCTGGTGATATATTAACAAAATATGTCAATATCACTATGAGAAATTTGCACTTCTACCGCACAAAATCGTGTAACAACTCCCCCGACAAGAAATTTATTTTTTAAATGAATTATTTTGCACTATGACCACAATACCTTGTAACAGGTGAATTCAGTACATGTAACTAGGCAGTCTTGCATCAATTTGGAGCAATATGAGAATGGCTGATTGGCTTTGCATTACGTTGCCTGGGTGTATAGACGCAGGTGTTATTTGAAACACTTTAATTCATCACGATGTGTGAACACATCAAACTTTCATCTGCGAGACCTCGTCTTTCTTTTCATTCTTTTATTCCACTCGTTTGCCCATGTGATACGAGAGTAACGGAAGCTAGTCATCGTTACCATGGCGCTGAATAAACAGTCGTCTTAAAGTAGATCCACGCAATGTATTGACATGTGGGCTCCGTGTAAGGGAAACTTGTTAATCTGAAATTGCTTATCGGTACTCTAAATGAGCAGAAAGTTGATGTGAACTTAATCATAAAAAAATGTACATATGAACAAATTAGTAATAATAATATTTGGTTCTTGTATAGCGCATATACATAACGTCTCTCAGCGCTTCCAAAGAGCTTTAGAAATTGAGGAGGTATTTGTTTTCTTTTGTCTTATCATTTCATTTGGGAAACGAAGGCTTTGAAATGAAAGGATAACTTTGGAAGAAGTGGTTTATTTTCTTGCTACATTGTATATACATGTACATCATGCTAGACTGAGTGTATAGGCACAGCAAATTTACAAAATATTACAAATTCACATGAGTACATAGGGATCACATTCAAACTACATGCATGGCCTTTCTGTATAAAAGGACAATACCAAGTGTTCAGAAATGACATTTCCAGATAACTTTGAAATTGGAAAAGAGAATACGATATAAATTTTGATAAAAATCTACAAATTTATGATATAACATTTAAACTACCGGTAATATAAGATTTACTTTTACAACAGTTGAATTTCCTATCAACCGTTCATAAAGTGTATAATATAAAAGTCAATATATCATCAACTTGATGGCCGATTGACAGGAAACCAAAACGTTTTGAAACTAACTCGTATTTGAAGGTACAGTACTATGTCCTATTTGCAGGCCCAAAAAATGAAAAGTTTAAATTCCAACGGCATTTGAAAGACAATACTAATTTAGAACTTCCCTAAAAGAAAGGGGGCTTGAAAATGTCTTTAAGTGAGAAAATAACGACTATTAGTTGTCGAATCGACTTAGGAGCTATAGAGCCAGTAAGTAATAGTCTGATTTTTAAGACCATTGTACCAAATGGTCTTACGTTTTATGCTGCGCAAAGATTCAATCAGTTTAATTTTGGCCATTGCAAGAAGCGAGTTATTGATGTAGACAAATGCTCATGTACCCTTTACAGATCATTTTATGTATGTTATTACCAAAGACAAAAAAAAAGCCAGTCAGTCACTCAATAGTGTCTGACAGTGAAGTCTAACAAGTAAACGGGTTTCCTTGCATAATTTGAATATTAGGACACTACTAATGTTTAAATTTCCCAGATGGGACATACATGACAAATTCATAATTCCTGCAAAGTCCTACAGAATTTGATGTTGGCTGCAAAAGGGACATAGTATCTTTAATAGTTAATATATCATATCGTTGATTGTAAACATTTGATTAAAGTCCATAATATTCTTTATTCATTATAGAAATGCTCTGGAAATGTCATTCCATAATGCTTGAAATTAATCTAAAACAGGCTGGTTGTATTAAAGCTATATGTCAAATGAATTTTATAAAAATGTGCAGTCCTTGGATATGATTTTATTAAAGGGACTTTGTAACATTGTTCAGATGAGAGATACATGTAGTGGTGCTAAGTTAGTGACTTCAATGCTAGATGTACAACTAAAGATAATCTGAAAATCTGAGTGAAAACAGACCATTATTAATGATACAAATTGGGAAAAACTGATCTGATCGATTCCTTAATTCTCCCAACTATATTATTACAATTTAATTACATTTTAGGTGAATGTAAATCCCCACAAAGCGATAAATTGGCTCCACATATTATTCCAGACATTTAAGTGTTGACAGGTTTTTAATAGCCTGTTTTATGTCTTTTTTTCATGGAAAAACGGTTTGGAAAATTCAAAAATGGTTGTGAGAATTTACTGTTAATCACTGTTAGAGGGTGTCGTACAGTGATGCCTTCAAAGAAAACCATAAATATCGTTTGGGAATTTTTTCATGTTTTTTTTGCATGTCAGAGGGTTAGTAGAGTAGAAGGAATATAATAAGTAACATTTCATACAAAAATTAAGCAATTTTTTCATCAACCTTCAAAAATGTTACAGAGTCACTTTAATAGACATCATCTCACAGTACATGTATCTCTATCATGTAATTTAACAGGTTAGTTGTTACTATAGCAATTCAACTTTTGAACACAAATTACACCCACCTCACTTTTCAATAGTCGCACAATTTTCCCCAAGGACTGCTTTTCTGCTTCCTAAAATTGGAAGAAGAAAAATAAAATTTGTTGATATTTCCTTATAAAAGATAAGGGTACAATACATGTACATAGATAAATGTACATACAAAATGTAGTGTACAGTGTAAATGCTTTAAATGCATGTACCATCAAACCTGCTTTAGTGACCACCTGTCTAGAAAGACCACATTTTTTGTTTCCCTTGAAAATGGTTTCTCATTGAAACATGTACATGTACTGTAGGCACCAGTCTACAAAGACCACCTGCCTATAAAACCACTTTTCTTGTCTCCCTTGGGTGGTCTTTATAGACAGGTTTCACAGTACATGTGTATATCCATTAATATGTAAATTTGATGAAGGTCTTTATTTAATTTTGCACACTATAATTGATCACCTACCTGTACATTTATGTGAAGTGGTATTTCCTGTATTTTTATATTTTATCATTTTTTATTGAGGTTTTATTTCCACATTAACTGCATATGGAAATAATTTACATAGTAACGCATACAAGGTTTAATACATATAAATATATTTGATAAATAGGTGGTATTAAAACAATAAAAAACAATGTTATGTGAGTAATTAAATACAAAGGATGCTAACTTAATCTACAGTAATGAGGAGGAAACCTTAGAAGCATTATACTTGTGAATAAGGTTCTCTTTTCATAATACATTTTTTATAAAACAAAAGGATATTAAGTATATGGAAAGGAGAAATGACATGTTAAAGAAGATAAAGCATACGTCTTACCAGTTCAGCTACTTGATTCTGCCAACACAAAGAGTTGTTTTCAAGACATTTGATCTCATCTCGTAGCTCTCTCATCTGATCTTTAAACACACTTTGTTTCTGTAGGAGACTAGAACGTAAGAACAACATTTGTTTCTTGTCTTTAATAAAGGCAATACAAAGTTTTGGTATTATTGTCAACAGGATATGAAATTAAAAGTTGCGTTACCATTGTGAAACCTAGAGTTAGAATAAACAAATTTTTAAAAAATTGTGATCTAAAATGCTATTGGATTTCGAGAAATTAAAATATCAAATTTATTGGTGCTCCCGGTAAGTTTCAAATAGTTTCACCTACGACTACAGTATATAATGGTAGCTGCGACCATGAAAATCTTGGAATATGCAGTTCTGATATATAATTTCCAAACGGGAATAGATTGTTGTGAAAGGTATAATCAGAAATGAATTTTTGTTAGAAATGTTTTCTTCCATAGTGACTTGTTCATTCAACTTCAAAATTCATGAATTAACCCCTTTTTGAATTAAATACAAAACCGTTCATTGTTCATTAAACAAAATTGGGTTATGTAGATACTTGTCAAAATCCTACTACAGAGCAATACAGCAAATAAAAATATGGATTAAAAAACACACACTCTCGAAAATCCTATCTTAAGAACATCTTCAGAACAACAGATCTTGAATAAAAAAGAAAATTTTGATATTCCAACAAACCTACTAGTCCTTACATTGTACCGGTACATAAAGTAGCTATACACATATCACACCTATATGCAGCTAGTGCAGCAAGATTTATTTATGAAACATATATGGCTTGCTCAACAAATCAAATTAACTACAGAGTATTGATGCAACTCCCAGAGTATTGATGCAACTCCCAAAGAATAGACAATTGAATTACATGGTTTCAACAATCCCAATTAAATCCCTGATGATCGGTCTCAATCAAATTAATCAAGTCAAGTTATTGAAGTGCTATTGAAACTAGTCTGCAGGCATAGACTCTAATTTGACATTTATCTAACGTAACTTAATACACTGAATATTCAAGATTACAAATAAATGACAAGTGCCCAACAATTTTGGTAGAAAATGTATAGTGGCTGAGTAATGTGCATAGAAATTTAGGAAATCAAGCTATTAAAGTAGGCCCTACTTAATACACAGGTCACTATGTGCGAATGGAAATTACAGTTTTTATTGAAGATGATGCCCAGTAAGTTTGTGTGCATTTGTTGTTTTTATTTCACTGGTTCAAAAAACAAATCTACTACAGGATGAATACTCCAGAATAAATCATAATTTTTTTTCTCTTAAAATACAATTCCTACGCTAGAGCTCTAGATAAGATGTACTTTTTACCACAATGCCATAAATTCTTGAGCAGAGCCTACTCCTTCAAGAAGAGCTGTGAGCTCTGGTTAAAATATCAATTACTTCAATATCACTGAGAAAATTGCACCAAAGGAATAAAGAGCTCCCGCAAAGCAAACAGAAAAGTATGTCTCACACTCGCTAGTCTATCAGTCTCGGACTGTGTCAAATATGTTGTTATATTAGGAGGAGCTAAAGTAAATAGCCTACCTAGACAATATATTACACAACACGACTGATTACTGAAACTGCCACTCGAAACGTGAAATGGGATCATATTTTGTTTTGATGTTTAGTGTAGTAATATTTAACATGTGTATTCATGCAACCGCTGTTATATCAGAAATATTAACAGGTGTATAAACTCAATACAATGCATGTACATCAACCTACTGAAATTATATAAAGAAGTTCAATTGAAACCGCAACTTGAAATATGATTATATACATATGGATGCCAAATAAAGGATGTGACTGTATATATCTTTTAAAAAATCTAAATTAACAAATCAACCTATTTGAAGTAGTTAACTGCAAAATTATTTGGGCTTAATCAGTGCTGCTTATTAGTAATGAAAGTACAGTAGGTGAATTCTTATGGATGATTTAGACAGTATTGTATTATTACAAAAAGTAATACTTGAAAGTGCAAAGAGATAATTGCCTGTTGTCCGCAATAAGGCCACAAGACCTGCATGAATGTATCGTCAATGGCACAATCCCCTTCTTGCGGGCAGCCAAAATATATTATTGTTCCTTGTGCGATAAACATAACTAGAATACTATTTGATTAAAAATGACTTAAAGGGAAAGTCCACCCCCAAAATAAGTTTGTTTCGATAGAGGCAGAATAATAAGAAAATCAGGTGAGTGAAAGTTTGAGCAAATTCTGAATGAAAATAAGAAAGTTATGAATTATTGAAGTTGTGATCAATCAAATACAAATTGGCAACTTTGTGACTTATTATACGAGCGCTCCTTCATTTGCTTTGTGCATAATATTCCATAAAATCATGTTTTCTTCGTTATTGATGACGGAATATATATTTGTTCCTTGCAGGGGGAGTATAGAAACATATTTGCAATTATTATATTTAGGGTGCATGTACATGTATGGTTGAAATTTTTCTTGAGGGAAAATGAAAATTTTAGATTTTTTTAGTACTGAGCAAATGGAAGTTGAGCTTGCATGATACGTCATAGAGTTGCCAATTTGTGTTTGATTGATCACAACTTCAAAAATCCTAACTTCCTTATTTTTAATCGGAATTTGCTCAAACTTTCACTGACTTGTTTCTCTCATTTTTCTACTCCTATTAAAACTAACTTAATTTCAGGGTGGACTTCCCCTTTAATACCTGCTGATAGTTTCCTTTGCTTCTTCTGCTTTATTGAGTAGCTCTGTCCGAGACTCTTCTGTCGTTTCCAGCCGCCTATGCAACGCTTCATTGGTCTCTGTTAGTTTCTGACGTTGACAACGCAGTTCTTCCAACTCTTCAAATATGTTTACCGATTGATTTCTGTAACAATTGAATATATAAAGTCAAAAACTGTCGGCATTCAGTGTCTCTTATTCTGCCTTTATACAAATGAATTTATTACAAGGCCCTTTAAAATGTTTTCATATCTCTACCTATTGCTACAATGAATCACAAATCCATCCTGCTCTACATTTAGATTTGCAGTTTGCTCTAGAAATATCATGCAAACACGATCATGCATTAAGAGCCATTTCAAACTGGATATGGTTTGACTACGCACCGGGCCCAATGTTTGCACCAAACACATTGCCAGCTTTATGTACATGTAATCCCCCCCCCCCCCACACACACACACATCTTCATACAGCGTATACATTAATACATGAAGGTCATTTTCATAATGTAGCCAAATTATGCATATCCCTTTGTGAAGCACCTCAATACAAATTCTTTCATTCACCTGTTACAAATAAATGAATGTCCGAATAGTCAGAATTCAAATTGCATACATTAGTCGTTGCTAGGAAAGGCAAACGTAATGGCTTGCGCTACCTAACAACATGTAATATTCTCACTATTGAAATGCAATTATTTTGTAAGAGGTGAATGATATCATTTGTTTTGAGGCACAGGTGTAAATTTGGTAACAGTGCCAAAATTGCCTAGATTGAAAGGCTTTTGAACAGAATAGTTGGCATCAGTGGAAATAGGAAATAATGGAGAAATAAATTATAACAAATAAAAGGGTTTGTCAAGCTTATGGTATCAAATATTTGTATTCCAAGCATAAGAGGCTTCAATTTCACACCCTCCCCCCCCCCCCCCCCCCCCAAAAAAAAAAAATCAACAACAAAAATAGTCTACTAATATAAATGCCAACTTCCTAATTGACAACACATTCAAATCCCTGCACTTTCTGCCTTTCAACTTTTTCAAAAGAACGATTGGTGAGACATAATTTTAGTGCTTCAATCTGCCAGATGGCAAAAGATTTTCAAATTTGGGGGAATGCATAAACACATCATATCTTGTAAAATTGTCAGAGTCACAGTATACACCAAAGATTGAGTCATTTGTGAAGGGGTATATATCAACAATCAACCAAGGACATTTATATAGAATAGTAGTAATCAAATATACCATGCACTGAGAGGCTCAAGTTGAAATTATGGATCAAAGAATCCATAATGTCACTAGTGGCTTGAATAGTGCATGATATATTTCCTTTATATTTTTCAAACCAACCTTCATAAAAATAATAATAATAATAATTTCTGTCACCAAGGAATCCAACCTTCATAAAAATGATGTTTTCACTTACCATAAATGTCACTCTAATTGTTTAATCGAGAGCAGTGCAGATGACCAGGCCGATACTGATCACATTGATCTTGAATGATCGCATATCTATGACGTCATCTACGGTATAGTGCACTATACCATAGATGATGTCACATATAGCACATTTTTCTTATCGGTAGCATAATAGCAATGTTATGTTTGGTCACATGATGCTACGTTGACCAATCACTGAACAGGATTTCATTGATCAAAAATATAAATACAAATACTCACATTTCATCCCCTCCATAAGCTTCCAAGCTTCCATAGCTGAATGTTGACAGGTTGGGATTTTGTTCTTGAGAAGAAATTTACAGAAAATTGTCAATTTTTTCAAAAATTTAAAACAAGCACAATACGAAGTTCAATGACCATTGAATAGAACTGTTATCATACAATACTTATATCCAACATTATAATTCAATGGGAATGAAATATGTGTATTTAAACTTATCCAAAATGATACTTGATATTTAGCCAACAATCTATCTAGTTTGAAGTATTATCCAATTCCAATTCAACTTCCAGACAAAATATACCACTAATTCTGGCACTATATCACATACAAGCATACCTATGCAACAGGGAAAAAATTAATAGCAATTTAAACACCCATTTAGGTTCATCATGACTATTAAAATTAGATTTCCAGGCCATTGCATCCTGATGAATGTCACATGCGAGTCAATTTCACAGTCCATTCAAACATCTTCCGATACAATAGAGCATTCTACTACACTTCACTTGACTGTATGGCAGGCAATTAAAGTTGGTATTTGGACCTTGCCATTTCATCACCTTTAAGAGGTATTACATCTACATCTCTTCGGTCTTTCATGAAGTAGGAACGATAAATATAATATTGATCAGCTTCATATACATTAAGTATGCACATATTTACAAGAATACCACCATCCATATGGGTCACTCCATTGCAGCTCACCACACACACACACACACACACACACACACAACCACGCATCCTGACCAGTATGTAAACTCATAAAATAGGTATATTATATAACTGATGGAAAAGTACATGTACATGCATGTTATCAGGGATGTTTTGAAAGTTGAAAGTTGCAATATTTTAATCTTCTTCTTTTTTTCCCAAAAATTAATAATTTCTTGGTACATATTTTAATTTATTGATTTTCTAAGTATACTATGTTTTCAAGATACATGTATATTGTAAAACAGCATCTGAGGAACTAATACTTCAACAAGCTCTGCTTCTAGTTGGTTCCTCTTTTCTTGACCTATTACCAGTGAAAAAAATACATGGGGGCTCAGGGCGCAATAGCCCCCGAAATGCCCAAAAGAGCCCCCTTAAATTCGCATAGAGTTCAATGCAAAACAAAATTTAGAATGTTATTTTCATGCAGGCAAGGTTGAAAAGTAGCCCCCGAAATTTTTTTTTTTTTTTTTTCCTGACTATAACTATTATATTTGTCGCTTCATTGTATATTTTGGGTAATATACTTATTCATTGTACTATGTTTTGCATGAGAAATAAAATGTCAATTGAATCAAGACAGGTTAATTCTCTGATGGAAAATGAGAATTTGTTCCACGTTTTCAAAGCAGCCATTGTAAAACGTTATTTTCAGGAGAGGAGAGTCTGGATTTGGTACCAGTATTCAACTTAATTATAAAATAGAACATTAGTTTAAAGTTATAATGACAGAGCTGCCAACCTTGTGCAACCAAAAAAAGGAACCATGATGGCAAAAAAAAAGGAATTTCAAGCAACACACTTTGAATGCAGAAATTTCAATTCCTCATGCTATTATTTCCATATTAGGACCTACAGTTTATTTACACGTATTGTAGGTACCGGTAGTTTTTTTTTGTTTTTTTGTATTATCAGCGTTTCATTCTTTTTAAGAATATTTACGCCTTTCACTTCATTTTTTTCTTGCTTTTTCGCTTACTATTTTGAAATACGTACTCTTCAGTAAAAAAAAAAAGTATTACAAAAAATAACCCATATTTTATAAAGAATTAAAGTACTACCGTAATTTGGAGGGAAAAAAAGGAATAATTCCAGGAAAAGCGTAATGGTTGGCAGCTCTGCAATGAATAAAAAAATCAAGAGATCTACAAATGTAGCTATTACAGGTCTCAAAGGCTACATTTATGTAAATGTATTGAGTTTCTAGCTTTACTTACCTTCATATGAAGACAGTGCCCTGCTGTACCAGACTGGCTTAATGCTGTCACTAGTGCAGTCATGCCTAGAAAATTAATAGCATTCATAGAATATTTACATTAGGCCTGTCTTCATCAGCTCAAGATTGCCAAATAGCCCCCTATTTCTTATTTGGGAAATAATCCCAAAGTTACAAATCGCGTCTTCATCAGCTCGAGACTTGACCTCAAAACTTAAAACTCGAGCTCGAGAAATTAGCTCGAGAAATTAGCTCGAGATATTTTGCTCAGACTTCATGCATAGTGCGAGTCTTCAGGCTGGTGAAGTCGCACCGGACAAATAGCGGGATATTTGCAAACTAGCCCAAGATATCTGAGAAGAATACTTCCTATGACAAAACATAACAGTTTAAAGGAAAATGAAACCCAACAAACTATAGTTGATAACCTTATCATATAATTTCGGCCAGTTACACATATATTCAAACTACCCCTACATGTACATGTATTTGATTACTGAGCAAGGAAAACTATCTCTCACGATTTTGCAGTTTCTTTGCTAGCCATTCTTCCATGGGTGCTTTCATTTTGATGATTAAAATAGAAATGTCAGAGTAGTACAATCTACATATCCATTGACCTCTGATATCTCAAATGGGTGATTTCTTTTAAGGAAACCTAACCCCAAGAAATAACTTTATTGCTTAACAAAAGAAACTGTTCAAAGTTTTAAAACAGCTGAACCACATAGTGTGTTACTTTAAGTTATGAGAGAACATCTATTCCTTTGAATTCATATTACAAAAAAAGTCTAAGGGTCTATTAGGCCTTTAAAAAATAGGTTGTATTGCTCTTTAGGTGCTAAAACATGGGTCGGTTGGTCAGAAAAAAATAATAACTTTTTTTTCTCCCTCTTTGGGCTGACATTTCTCAGTTTTTAATATATTTTTCAGTTGTTAATGCTTAATTTTTTTTTTCTCTGGGTCGGTCGCAAAGGGCAATACAATGGTTTTTTTTAAAGGCCTCACAGGGAATAATTTTTCTGGTATCGCATCGCAATTTGCTACGCATTTTTGCATGACTGCTATACAAAATATTGTTTGTGTAACAGTTTTCTTCCATAGAAATGTACAGAATTTCATTTGAAATATTTATCCATCAGCTAAAATTGCTAATCAAAATATTTGAGGAAAATTATTCCCTGCCTCATTAGGAAACCACTGTCATGCATTTTACAGGTGAGCATCCTGCATTGAAACTAAAATACATTTCAGTGGGTATCTCACAAGTTGTACTACTCTGACATCGCTATTCTAATCAAAATGGCTAATCCCATAGGAGAATGGCTGGCAAGGAAACTACACAATTTGGAGAGATTGTTTTCCTTGCTAAGAAATCAAATAGGAGTTATTTCAAGACATTTTTAACTGGCTCATAAATTCTAATAAGGCAATAGGCTACAGTTTCTTGGATTTCATTTTTGTTCAAGTACATGTACATACGTTTTATCATGTTCAACTCGCACACCTTTACAATCTTTTTCAACCTCTACACTGTTTTGGCTATTTACTACAGGTAAACAGGAAATATGCATTGGGTTTTAAACAAGAAAAAAACACTTGTTGAATAATCGTAGGAAGCTTAGCATAATGTATTAGCACTTTAACGTTGAACGGTGAATACAAACTTGGTATGTTACATATATCTCGGGGTAAATAAAGTCAAAATAAGGTAGTCTAGATAATAGTCCCATGTACTAGAAAATAAGCTTCTATCACAATGTCATGAAACTATATTTTCAAAAATAATGCATTTTGCGTTCTGGACAGATCTTTTTGATTAGTTAAAAAATGGAAAGGGGGATTCTTATGAAAATGACCTTTTAATAATAATAATAATAATAATAGTTAGCTCTTATATAGCGCATTTAATTACCGAAGGTAATACCAATGCGCTTTACAAATGTAGAAGACAATAGAAATAAAGACATATATAGAAATAATTACATATAATTATAATCAAAACTTACAAGTAGGCATACGTTATACATTAGAAAAATCGAAAATAGCTTCTATTAAAGGTGATACATATAATATTTGAAAATGATTATAATTATACAACAATATAAATATGAATAGATAAATAAACATCAGCATTCAGTCAGTCACAAAGATGGTATGTGCTGCACCAACCATAATCATAACAATCAAGAATCAATTCCATCAGAAATGTTATCAACAAAATGAGCTTTTGATAATCACAATCATAATAATCAAGAATCAATTCCATCAGAAATGATATCAACAAAATGAGCTTTTAATAATCATAATCATAACAATCAAGAATCAATTCCATCAGAAATGTTTTCAGCAAAATGAGCTTTTAATCATAATCATAATAATAAAGAATAAAGTCACCTTTGATTCTCATGATCTGCTTTCTGTGGACTTGGTGTAACTCCATCATACTCCTCTTTAGGATATGTGTAGGCTGCCATACCATTGGATGCTACACACATCTACATGTACAGGGGTGCAGCCTGGAGGTAATAATCATAATAGTAATAATAATAACAATAAAACTAATGATAATAAAGATTAATTGTTTTTGTAAAGCGCGACCGGAGTGTTGGCTCATTCAGTAGAGCGTCCGCCTCACAACCGGGAGGTCGTGGGTTCGAACCCCGGCCGCGTCATACCAAAAGACGTTAAAAGATGGGAGTTGTTGCTACCTTGTTTGGCGTTCGAAAATAAGGGATAGAGCAACGTCGATCTGGAGCTGCTCAGTGGCTGCCAGGCTCACAATCAATTGGGCAAAAAGAATTTCCGTTTCGGTTTAATAAAATTTGGAGTAGACTATTAGGCTATTATTATTATTATACAGTACATACATGCATTAAGTACTGCTAGGCATAATTGCATGCCTCTATGCACTTTACAGAACCGAATATAGAAGGAGTGGAAATGGTGCACTGGGTTCATAATTGTGAGATTTTACAAAGTGCTATTTGCAATAAATATTTGCAATAAATTGTTGTATGTTTTTATAGTATTCTGGCAAGTTATTCCATAAAACAGTGGCTGCATAATTATGTAGTTTGTAGGACATAAAATAAAGACTTACTGCTAGAGCGCAGAGTTCTTACTATTTAAACTGCATTAACATACAGGTGTATATGATTGGAGCAAACTGATGGAAACATTGATAAGAATAATAATCAAAGTACTTTAAACTGGATACAGGACTGGATGGGAAGCCAACGTAAATTCTTATTAAAGATGTTGATTCATGTTTCTGGAAAAACATAAATTACAGAAATTCAAACCATAAAGAGGTATCATTCATAGTAGTTTAAACACTGGACTAGTTATTAAATAAAGATGTGAATGTCGTGGGTCTGATCCCCAGCTTAAAGATACGCTTGAGTTCTGGTAATGATAGAAAATAAATTCTCACAGAATCTGGACAACAAAACTTACTGTTACACTGAATGTTCAAGATTAGGAATAAATGAATGTGCCACACAATTTGGGTAGGAATGGTATAGTGGCTGAGTAATGAGCATAGAAAAATAAGGAAATCCAGGTAAGAAGGCCCGACACCTGTGTCTTACACAGGTCACTATACAGTATATGAGCAACTGGGATTTCTGGTATTTATTGTAGATGTTTTTGTGCGTTTGATTTTATTTCACTGGTTAAAATAAACTACATCAGGATAAACATTCCAGAACAAATCATAGCAATTTTTTCTGAAAATATGATTCCCTTACCAGAGCTCAAGATTAGCTTTCATACAAGCAGTACATTTCCTTCTTTTAAGAATTTGTTTTGCATTATCTGTTGAAATTAGTAAAGAGTATAGTATAGTATTAGAGTATTTTTAAAGTGCCAACTCCACATGTGTTCGAGGCGCATGGAGAAGAAAAACTATAAGTACACAAAAAATACACACAAAAATGAACAACGACAATGTGAAAGTCATAAAGCTTAAAACTAGCTAACAAGAACCAAAACAGAGTAGCTCAGTCTAACAATAGCAATTTACACTCACACAAATTACTTGCCTTGGAAGCACCGACCACAGATCATCAAATTATCCCATACCCAAACAATTAATGTTAACTGCATATGGTCACAGGCTAATGGTGCCAGAGCAAAACAATGAATAAATATCAAAGGTTATGGGACTATTTAATTAGGTTGCCAAAGCTTACACTATGATGGATGGGAACTCCCTGGTATTGTACATTGGGCATTGATGAGAAATGTGTCAGCTGTGAATACGCACAGAAGTAGATCATATGCAGCTCAGTAAATTACACAGTGTTGCTATAATCAACAATAAGCCTGCTACAGCTGTATATTTTATACACTGAACAAAATTGCCAGGTACTCATGATATGCAAGGTCATACGTTGAAGGGAATTGATGAAAATTATGAATGTTTTGTTATAAAAACAGGTACTGTACGTCAAATGAATAAAACCATCAAATTTTTCATGATTGAAATTCAGATAATGAGTTTATTTTGGAAACAAGGGCAGGTAAAATACATCATGCATTCTTTTTAATCTATTTCACGGATGGCCTAAAATAACATTTTTTAATTAAACACACTGGTGAATGAGCAGTAGTCTCAACAAAAAACATAATCTGTATTCCATGAATTATGGTACTTTTTCCCCCTATGTTCTAATTGTTATTGTCTCTCGTTGTCTCTGTCTCTCTCCCCCTCTCTCTCTCTTTCTATCTTCTCATCTCTCTTTCTCTTTCCCTCTTTCCCTTGCTCTCTCGTTCTTTCACTCAATCTACCTCTGATGATTTGTTTTATGATAAGGAGCTGGTGATTTGACTTTTTAAAAATCCCTCATAATTTCTGATATTTAAAATACTAAGTGTGATTGTTATTAGAGTTATTTACACGTTTGTATTCTCGTTATTAAGAGTTATTTACATATTTGTATTCTTGTTATTTTAATTTGTATTATGTTTTTTAACAGACTTGCTGAAAAACAGCCTTATGGCAAATAGCAGGTGTTTTTAACCGTGGTTAAATAAATAAAACACACAAGCATATACATGTAAACAGGGAATAATTTTCCTGGTATCGCATCGCAATTTGCTATGCATTTTTGCATGACTGCTATACAAAATATCTTTTGTGTAGCAGTTTTCTTCCATAGAAATGTACAGAATTTCATTTGAAATATTTATCCATCGGCTGAAATTGCTAATCAAAAAATTTGAGGAAAATTATTCCCTGGTAAATAAGGGAAGTTAAGAATATTTTCAGCAAAAACAAGTGCATTAGCTGCCACTAGGCATGTACATTTATTTATTACCAAATCTAGTAATCAAATGTGTGGAATATGTACTTTGTCTATCATCAAGAGGAAATAGGAACTGAACATTGTCTTGTGAAGTTGAGTTAAAAAGGAAATTAATTCTGTCCCTTTGTTACATGTACATGTACCTATCATGCATAATGCAGTGTAGTAGATAACATAGTGTTTTTTCTTTCTTTCTTTCTCTCTAAAATCAAGACAACAACATTGCAGACCTATATGTACATGTGTACAGTACATGTATACTGTAGAATTAGGGAAAAACCTAGAAGACCTGTTAAAAATTAATTATTCAATGTTTGTCTGTTGATCAGCTACATGTACATGTACATATTGGACCCTTTCAAATTTCAATGCATAAAGATTAAAGAAAACAATTACATTCAGAGTTATTTATGAACTGCCACCACTAATTTAACACACCAATGAATTTTTACATTGCCTCTGAATACTTTCCATTGGTGCAGTAACAAGAACAATGGAACAGAACATTAGACGGTGAACCTGGGCAGAATATGTGTCAAAAGTTCACATCCTTTTCCAGATGCTCTGCAAGCACTCATGCTCTAAGACCGAGACATGAACAAACTACATCCCTGGATGAGCTCAGTAAGCTTTATGTTGCCATGGCACCCTGAGCCAACCGATGCTCCAGTCTATTATACCACATACTATGTTCATAATACTTCAGCAAACATTCTGTTGAGAGTTCAATTGAGACGTGGATGGCAGGTGGCTTCTATGAGGACCCACACAGGGATAGATCTAAACACTGCATCGTGTACATGTATGAAAGAAGACACCCTTGGCAGGGGGCATTTTTCCCTCCCCTGTATATTTATTAGGATACTGCTAGAATGATGTGAATAACACACAGAATGATATTAGGGTTTGTCAACAAACACATGTATAGTTTTGGGAGATAACCACCCCTTCTCTCTTCCTTTTTTCTAATGAAATCTACTGTATCAACAGACCCCCCCCCCCCTCCCCCATTCTCTCTCTTTTTGTGCTGTGTCTCTGTCCGTAGATCTGTCTGCCTGTCTGTCTGTCTCTCCCTCCTTTTCTTTTCTCCAATTCTGTCTCCCTGTCTGTCTTTCTTTCTTTATCAATTTTCTTTATTTTTCTCTCTCTCTCTCTCACTCTCCTTTTCTGTTCTGTCTCTCTGTCTATATCAGTCCGCCTCTCTCTCTCTCTCTCAAATGAACATATTTCTGATAGACACATACCTCCTCAGTTCGTTGCGTTAAAAACAAATTCCAGATTACTACTCAATCAAAATGACAAGAGAATTGATGAATAACCATATCAAGGACATTTCAACAAGTGACAAACTGGCACCAGAATAGCTGTCCTTTTCAAGTACACACTTGAAGCTCAAGCTCATCAACCCCCCCCCCCCCCTCTCTCTCTCTCTCTCTCTCTCTCTCTTTCTCTCTCTCTCTCTCCTCTCTCTTACTCTTTCTCTCTCTCTCTCCACAAAACTCCCTGCATTATCTTGATGCGTCCAGTTCCATTACATCTTCCTTCCATCCCCCTTCATTTGTTATGAACTATTTCTTCTCACGTTTATATGTGTATTCAACTCATTCTCTTGCTTGATTGTCTATTCATTATTGATTATTTTTCGGTCTCTTTTTCTCTCTTCATCTCTCCCTCTCTATATCTCTCTCCTCATCTCTCTCTTCATCTCTCTCTCTCTCTCCCTCACGCTTTTCTCCCAATTTTTGCCTTTCTGTTCCCCCCCCCCCCCCCTCCTCCCAACTACCAATTGCTCTCTATAGATCTCTCTCTCTCTCTCTCTCTCTCTCTCTCTCTTTCTCTCTTTCTCTCTCTCTATTTCAGGTTCTCTCACAGGATTCCTTCCCAGTGAATCATGAACCCCAGACCATTCCCAGCAAGCAAGATGCTAAACCGACTTAGCAACAACTACTCTATGCAGCCTAAACTCTGACTTTTCTCCCAACAAATAAATGCAGGATTTGGGGTGTAGGCATCCATTTTTACACTACATACAGTCATATTTAACTGGTTTATTGATCTGCATGAATTATGTGTACTTTAGATCCTTATGCACAGTCATCACAGAGCAATCAATCAAACACAATACTGCGAGCTGGGTAAATAGATGAGACAGGTGCAAATAACAAGCATACAGAATTCAGGTACTTGAGACAAGGAATAATT